TTAAAATAATTTTAGGAGGATTTACAGTTATGGAAATGTAGCAACTTCGGTCATTATTCAAAAAACGTAGATAGCCACCTCTTTAAGAATGTAAAGAAAACATGTAGAACAGAGCATAGGAAATGTTTCTGGACACTCGAGATCCTAAGATCTAGAGGTATGCAAGCTTATTGCAAAACTTGGTGCTTTCTAAATACTAACTTGGCCTAATGTTTATAATTTTGAAGTAATTTTCAGAAAACAGATTCTAACAGTGGTTAAAATCTCAAAGCATGGTCCAGAAGCATCAGTTTCACCTGGGAACTTGTTACAACTGCAGACCCCTCTCTCTCCCCTTAATGAGAAATTAAATCTGTGTTTTAACAAGCCCTCCAGGTGATTCTGATGCAGACGAGAGTTTGAAAACCACTGTCCTAGACAAACACTGTATAAGTTAGGGACCATGTCCAGCTATTCCAGGCAGCAGGAAAAAGGGAGATGGGGCAAAGGCAAGCTGAGTAAGACACCTCCTAAGTGCATTCTCATCTACACCTCCCTCCCCCTGACTTCTGCTTACAACTCATTCGCCACCCCGAGTTGAAAGGGCGGCTAGAAATTAACTGTCGGTCATGTTGTTGCCAAGAATAAAACCAGGGAAGCCAGGGGGAATGGATACTGGAAGGAACCCACAGTCTTTAGATCCTTCCTGGAATAGAGTCAGTCAACCATGTTAAACCTCCGAGAACGTTATTCCGTAATAGCTCTTTACCAACCACGTCTTAAAATGTCATTTTGACCTGTTAGAGGACAAGCTACATCCTTGCTTTAGGCAAATGACTTTGCTTATCTTGAGAATCAGAATAGCCATTGATCAAAATAAATAAATATAATTTATTTCACATAAGTAGAGGCTGTGGTTGATATACACCAACCAGGTGTCCTTTACAATTTCTGGGGAGGGTAATTTGTAACAAACATATATGAAAAGTAATCAAAAAAATCCCATTCTCTTCAGGACTGCACTAATAATTCCTCTCTTGGAAATGTATCAAAAGGAAGCGATTCAAGGAAAGGAGAAGCTGTATGTACACAGCACTGTTATTTATGACAGCAAAAAAAAGTATTTAAATAGCTTATTATCCAAATGTCCTACAATAAAAGGCTGAGAGGATTATGGTGTGAGCATGACATAGCCATAAAGACCACGTAGCAACATGGCAAGGTAGATTGTAAATATATTGGCCATGGGAAGAGAGTTAAAAATATACGTGTATATGGATGAGAAGAGCATTCAGAGAACTATGATGGTCTTGTCAGGATGTTACAATTGTAAATATCAATGGCTTCTGCTTAGTTTCCTTTATTGTTCTATGGAAACAACAGCAAGAACCAAAAAATAGTCTTCCTGTGGTTTTCCACACCAGCGTGGGCTGACACTCTGGTCATCTGTCTCTGAAGTAAAGCTCAAGCTGCTATGCGTCATCATAGGAATATTTTCTCCTATAGTGAGAACAAAGTTACAATCATCTATTCATTCCCTCCTGCCAGTTTCCTCCTAATCAGTTTTATGAAATTGTCCCAATTTAGTTGTAGATTTGTGGACACCAAAGGGAACAAAAAAATTATGGAACTTCCTATGTAGGAATCGAACCCATCAGTCTTTAATATGATGCTGTGTATGGACTTACCCCTCTGTCCCCACCAATAAAAAAGTCCTCTCTTTCGGAAATTCCTGTGGATTTGAATGGTTATCCAGCATGGCAAGAGACAGAATTAACCATATGTTGAGTATAAGATTAATTTTTATTATGTTGAGGATTCCCCAATGGCCTTACTCCTTGAGATGCATTGAGACTTGTGAGTGTGATATGCACACTCTTTGTGTATCTGCATTCCGGGTAGGCTGGTAACTGATATGGCTTTAGAAAGGGCAAAAGAAACATGGCTGGGGTATTCTCAGAGGGACTCAGTGATGCCAAATACTCAACTTAGTGGAGCTGGAAAAGGTGTTGTCCAGGACAGAGCAGAAGCTGACCAGGAAATGTCTACCAGCAAAGCTTGAGGATGGTGGTGGAGCCAGACCCCACCTGTCCATGGGCTTATAACTAAAGCAGGAGTCCTTCAAAGAGAGAGCAGGGTCTTGATTTTCCAGGGATTGAGGGAACTGAGATAAAGAATTCAACCTACCCTATTGAGAACTAACTTCCATAACGTAATCAAGCAAACAAGAATATTTAATTAATCTTAGAGGAGAAACCAACCTGAAGGAGAATGAAGACAGAGACATCTTGGAAGGATCTCTGAGACTTAGTCAAGCTTGTGTGCCTACATTCTGTGTATAATACACCTGCTGAATTTCTTTTACACTGCAGTGAAATGAACTCTGCTCTTCAAATACTGGGCAAGTGCCAGAAACTAAAAGAATCTTTGTGTGGAACCAGCACAACCAGAGAAAGGAAAGCTCATAAATTCCAGGGGTTTGGTTTTTTTGGAGCATATTTTATTTTACAATACCAGAGAATTAACATCTAGTAGTGGCATCATACAAAAATGACACACCGATCTATTTAAAACTCATATAACAGGAAGTGTATTTCAAAAATGGTAAGAAAACAAAATGGATTTAGGGACCAGTTGATATAAATATATGAAAAAAATCAAAACTTTCATTTCATCAACAAAAACAAAAACACAATTGCAACATATATAAGGGTACATTCATCTTATATTCCCAAAGTGGATTGTCATTTTTATTTTCCATGAAATATGTCTATATATTAATATATATGTACAGGTATCTTCACATTCTGGATGGCAAGAGAAATTTTCAAATTTAAATATTTAAATTTAATACATTTATTAATGTATTTATACATTTCATTTATTACTAACCAGAACATTAAAAATAGCAGCAACACTGGTCTTTAAACATGTATAATATTACAGTAGATTGTTCACATAATGTAGATATATTTTGGGAGCTCCTTCATTATTAATATTATCTAATACCCACATACAATTTACAAACTCCAAGGTTCTGGTCTCATATCCAAATAACTTAGAGTATAGATTTAATAAATACTATACAAAGATTAATTATAAAACACAGACTGCAGAGCATTCTCCATAGCAGGGAGGAATCCTACCCAAAGGCTTAAGGGAAGAATCAGGTCTGAAGGCATATGGGAAATCTGCAGGATTCCCAAGGCAAAAGAGTGTGATCTGACAAGCTCCCTGAAATGTTACCAACTGAATCCAGAGAAATGTATCAACGGGAGAAAGAAGGCACTGTCCCCTTTTCATTCTTGCATGCTTCATTTGAATATGGCATTAAAGTGATAAACAACTTGGGAAATGTCTCAATAAATCGGAGAGAGAATTATTTCTCACAGGGAGGCAGGGTGCTGGACAAGGAGGCTGATAATTATTTTTCAGCATTTACATTTATTCTAATGACCAAAGGATAAAAACTGAGATTTCAACAGGACCTCAAGTATTTAATCCTGCCTGGTATGAGAAGTGTCTGCCACCATTCCTGATACAAACCACTGAATCAACCTGCTAATCCTATTGGTTTAAAAAGAAACCCCAAACGTAGTGACAGGCGTTTCCTCATACCCAGATCTGGTTACAGAAGTTGCCCCTGCAATTGTGGCCTCTTTTTATATTTCAGAGTTTTATCAGAAAAGTCAAATGTTTAAATCTTTCAGTGGGGCTGGACCTTTGCCTTATACAACTACAGGTACTACTCTCTGTCATTTCAATAATTTGTCCCTATTTTCAAACCACTTCATATACCATTTCAATTGATCCTCACAAAAAGACTTGTGAGGAAGCCAGGATTAGGCATCTAAGTGCTCATTTCAAAGACCAGGAAAATGGAAGTTCATAGAGACCAGAGTGACTTAGCTTGTCCACAATCACACACCTGAATGAACCAGTACAGATCTTTTGCAGAACTGAGCTCTGTACAATGGTTATTCTTTTTTAAGAATGGGGCTTGGTAATAGTTATTTTCTGAAAAATAAAGTAATTGAAGAGGGTGGGAAAAAAAGAGAAAAATGAGCTCAAGAGAAGGGAGAAACAAGTGGTGCCACTTGGCAGTTAGAATCACAAACTTCAAAACAAGCAAAGTACATTTCACATGCAGAACACACAGATGTTTAAGAAAATTTAAATACTTCAGTCTTCCAAATAGTCTCACTTTGGCCTGGATTACTACATCTTTAAGTGGTTACTGAGGCTGTCATTGAAACATAAGATCACTAAGAAATTTTTCCATGAGTTCCACAATTTCCCAAGAGGCTGGTAAAAATGTTACAGCCTGTTCTCAGGCCCCCACACCTGCCCCCTTCCCTCCAGCACAATATGTTACATTAAAATCTATAGAGTGTATATATATTTGACTCACAGGGTGGTTTTCTCAGGTGTGGGCTTTATAAAATATCATTGATGAATATTCTTGCTGTGTCCTTAGGAAAATTAGCTTTTTCTCTCTGGAACTAAGCCGAGAAGAAGACTGCACTAAACTTAGGGCTTTTTATCATTTTAAATTTGGATTCCACTTGGACAGTTGCTAGAGAAGAAAAAATTTGAAATGACCATAATAATTAATTTACTAAGCTTTCATGTTTCACACAACCTTTTCAAGAAAATTTAGTGACTCTTTGCTTGATAGTTTCATGAAATAAATTTTATGAATGCCATAGGAAGTATTACATTGTAAAGGAACTTATCTATAATGATAACATATAAACCAGAAGGCTTTAAGGTTTTGGTGTGTGACACTTTGAACTATTAATCAGTTCTTATTTTTAATCAGTAAATGTGTTTCTTTTTTTCTTTTTTATGAGATAGGGTCTTGTTTTGTTGCCCTGGGTAGAGTGCAGTGGCAACATCATAGCTCACAGCAACCTCAAACTCCTGGGCTCAAGCGATCCTTCTGCCTCAGCCTCTCGAGTGGCTGGGACTCTACAGGTATGCGCCACCATACCTGGCTAATTTTTCTATTTTTTTGTGGAAATGGGGTCTCGCTCAGGCGGGTCTCAAACTCCTGGCCTCAAACAATCCTCCCACCTCAGCCTCCCAAATTACAAGGATTGTTACAGGCCTGAGGCACCACACCAGGCCAGTAAACGCATTTTCAGGAAACAGTCGAATTAAAATGCAGGCCATTCTTGATAGCATTTGTAACATGATAAAAATATTGTATAAAACCCCTGTTCCTCTCAGCCACCACTCATGCTCTCCCCTCCCCACCCACCTTCCCTAACCTTCATATACCAGAAATGCCGCACCAACAGTCTCCTCAACCCTGAATTGAACATATGATGTACCAAAAGGCAAATTATGCTTTGGCAAGCACCAAACTGGGCAATTCTTTGAGCTTTTCTGAGGTAGTAGAGTCTCTCCTCCTAAACTTCTAATAATTAGGAAATGTTCTATGAAGCTGAATTTAAGAGCCAAGTGGAGTGTTGGTCACTGTACTCAAACACACTCCGAAACGGGTGGTTTATGTGATTATATGATACCACATACTTCAAAAGCTGCTTCAGCAGAATCCTGATTGTTATGCGGAGAACTTAAAGGTATTAAGGTTGCTGTGTGATGAGGGCAAGCCACAGTCTTTACAGAAGTGGCTGTCATTCAGTTAGGTGCTCAATCGATATTTGACAACCGATTTAGCTCAGTGAGATTACAAGCAAAACCAGACATTACAAAACCTAACCAACTGCAGGCTAACATCATCAAAGGCTAGATCACTTTCCCTCGTGCACGGAATTCTGGACACCTTTCAAACTGCGAGAGGGTTAAGTTCAGAAGGTGTTGTGCATGGTATCGTATACAGTTCCACATTGACTCCATTTATCGGAGGCCCTCTCATTCCCATTAGGATTTTACTATAATGGTGTGATTGTGAGGTTTCTGTCCATAAATAACTTTTCTGAAGACAGAGTGATCCACTCTCTCTGTTGTTCTTCAAGCTTTTCTGCCAAGCATTTAAGCAAGATAGGGTCCACCTTGGAATCAAATTTATTAGCAAACCAATGTCCATCTTTTATAAGCCACCTTAATTCTGCGGCTCCATAAATACACACACTTCGAAGGTGAGAGCCAGTACAACTGGGGTAGAGAAAGCCTTCGAAATAATTCCATTTGACGAGGCGGGTCTTACTCTGTAGATCAGACACATCCTGGGCTGATCTGGAAATTCCCCCAGGTATTCCTGGAACCCGAATTAAGGTAGCCCAAAAGTGCTCATCAGGAGAGTATGTATCTTCAGACCAGGCAAAAAAGTCTTTCACGAGGGAGTTGTTGAAAATATATTTGACAAATGCTTGACTTAACACAAAATAAGCACTGCCAACAAACACCTCAATGTTGTGAGGAGGTGCTTCCTTGGAGATGTTTGTCCTTACCGGTAGCTTCATATACTCATAAGGCATCTGTCGGAGTTCATGGTGATAAGTGAATCTTTCCATTTTAGTGTTAGGGGGTTTCACAGTCTCTAACATATTAGCTCCATTGAGTTTCTTCAACTCCGACACTAATTCAAAATTTGACTTTAGGGGAAAATCTTGCCCACACAGGTTGATAACATATCTCCACTGAACTGAAGACTTAAGAAGGTCTGACAAGCAATTTAAATCAGCTTGGAGTCTGGAGATGTGGGCATATTCCACAGCCTCTAATTTGGAAGCAATGAAAATATTGGAGAAGCACTTAGCTAAATTGTTCATGGCAACTTTGAAGGTATCAGGTGACTTGCGGTCATAATGGATGCAGTAAATATTGTATGGGTTGTATATGGCATGGATAAGCCTTTCGACCATAATTGCGTCTTTGTGGACAACCAAAGAATAGGCTATTGGGAAGCCTTTCTCCTCTCTTGAAACAAGCTTTTGAGGGTACCTTCTCAGAGTCTGATAAATCTCACAATCACTGGTCATTGCCACGACATCATCATCCTCCAAGTCGATGATGTCCCTTCTTCTTATTTCCAGACTCTTGCCAATCTCCAAAGGCTCCTGTTCATAGATACCAGAACAGTTAACTTCATACCTGACTTCATCCTTAACATGAGTGTATCTGTTTCTTACAAAAGGTGAGGTACTTAAGGAGTACTCAACCAAGTAAATGTCTCTTTGAGGGAAGAGGAGTCTTCTCACATTTAGAAGCTTCAACAAGGAGAATAGCCATAGGGTTAAAAACAGGACGAAAACTTTCTGCTGTAGGGGGTATTTAAAACAACATTTGAATATCTTCATTCTGTAAAAGGAGAAAGAAATAATTCAATTGAAATGTTAAGAGAAAACACCTTTATCCAAAATGTATTGGGTATCTACTATAGGCCAGGCAGAATGCTGGACCAAAAGATGACTAAAACAAAGTTTTTGCCCTTGAAAGAATCCAGAAATAAGGAAATGGAAATATGAAGAATGGTGGCATTTTGTGATAATCTATGTTAAATTAACTATCCCTAATTTTGAGAGATATTGATTACCAAATTGAAATGAAGATAATGCAAACTCCTAAAATATAAATACTATGTGTCTTATATTGTCTGCATTTCTGCTTAGCATATTTGAGGAGGGGTTTCTCTGGTCTGGGCAGAGGTCTGGAGAAGTGGATGTCATCAAGAGGTTCTCAGAGATGCAAAGGGCTCACCTGAGACCAAAAGAAACTTCCATCTTGCTTCTATCCTCAGACCCTTCTATCCTCAGACCCTGCTTAGACCCAGGTCTTAAGTCAGTCAAGGAAAGCCCAGGGAACCCACTTTCAGAAATAAGAACAGTGAGCAGACACCCAAAGGAGCTATAGTAGGTATTAGAGACTGTAAAATGTTGTATAGTTAGATGTATGTTACATGATGTTGTATAGTTAGATGGATGTTACATGATACAAAATGATGTATGTTACAAAAATTAGATAAACCTGCACATTTCCCTTAGTTTTTATATACAAAAGTCCCCATTTTCTCACAGGATTTAGCAATGTAGCCCTTAAAATGAAAAGGGCCTGACTCTCATTGACAGTGGTAGGTGGGGTGTAAGAGCCACCTTGGGGCAGCAATTTGACAATACCTGTCAGTTTTAAATGTCTTCACCCCAACGATCTCATGGGTGAGCAAAGACATGCACAAGGAGGTCCCCTGCAGTGTTTTGTATTCATGCTAAAGACAGAAAACATTCCAAACATGCTTCAACAGGGGATTGATTAAATTACATCCATACTACGTGAAAAAACCTGAGACCAATCCGAATGTGCCAGTGGGGAACAATCTCTAAGATATACTGCTACATAGAAATAAGCAGAATGCAGGACTGTGTAGAGTATGCTTCCATGTGTCTATACTTGCAGAGAGCACATGTCAGCAAACTTTTTCTCAAAGGACCAGACAGTGAATACCTTTGGCTCTGTAGTCCATACTGTCTCTGTCACAACTACTCAACTCTTCTGTTGTAGTGGGAAAGCAGCCACAGATGATATGCAAAGGAGTGGGTGCAGCTGTGTTCTAATAAAACTTTATTTACAAAAACAGGTAGCTGGCTGGATTTGGCCCACAGCTGTAGCATTTCCAAAAGAATACACACGACACTGGTAACGGGAGTTGCTTTGCAGGGTAGGGTGGGAGAAGACTGAGGATTGGGGCCTGGGTAGGTAGGCGGATTTACTTATCACTGAATATCCTTCAGTATCATTTGAATTTTTAAAAGAATGATTATATCACTTTTTCAGATAAAAACAGGCTAAGCAGGGGTAGGGCATAGATGTGCTCAATGGGAGCAGTAGGCAAAGAGGTCCATGAAGTTTTAGCTCAAGGTCAGAACATGGAAGGGCTGGCTGAGCTTCTAGGGCTGCTCCAGGCGGTTCAAACTCTGAGACTTGATGTGGTCTGAGCAGCCCATGTGCAGTTTCCTAACACATCTCAATAAATCTTCAATGAAGACATAATCATTGTATCCAATTTCATTCAAAAGAATTACCAAGAAATTGGAACACAATTTAATTTTGTAGATTTCTTCTATACAGATCAATTGGCAACGTTCTCTCCTGGGAATGACATCCAACCTTCCTCATTCATTTCCACTTCAAATGCTCTCTATTAAAGCACGCACCTTCTTGACTGTTCTGCAGAATCCTGCCCTCCCCAGGCACATCTCCATCCCCATCTCCTCATGGGCTGCCCCAGGGTCCTGTCCTCAGCTCGCTGCTCTTCTCGTGCACATTCACTCTCTGCATTCCACCTTCCACCCTGACACCTTTCCATATTCCTACTCCCTTCTCCCCAGCTCTCACTCCTTGCCCAAGCTTCAGGGCTGAACTGTCAGGTGCTTGATGGACGTCCCCACCTGGACACCCTGCAGGCACTCAACCGCCGCAAGTCCCAACCTGAACGTGACACCCTCCCCTCACCTGAACATCCTGTCTCAATATATGGTGATACCATCCATTCATGACTCACACTTGAAACTTGCGAGTTACCCAACTCTTCCACTTCCCGCACACCCACATTAACAGGTCACCTCATAAATATGCCTCAAACCCGTTCCCCTCCTCCGTCGCCACTGCCTGCCCCAGACAGCATCACTGTCCAATCCCAGCATCCCAGCACCCAGGTGAAGGGACTCCGGGTCAGGCTCCTGGCCCTTGGTCCCTTGTCAGGCCTCAGCTTTCTGCTCCTCCAAAGCACACTGAATAGGGTCCCCTCCACTCAGGTGCAAGGACAAAGTTCCTGCCAGTTGTTAGAAAGCTGTGGAAAACTGCCCCCATGCACAAGGGGACACACTGCCACTCCAGAAACCTGAGCGCATGTGTAGAATTAGGTTTGTGATAAAATGAGACACAGACGACTAATCAATCCCAAACAGATGTTTGTCTATGTGTGTGTCCAGTCCTAATTCATAGGCACAAATAGGAAGCAGCTTGCTTAAATGGCTAGAATTAGAATGGGTCTTACCCAAAGTAAATTTTTGCTTTTTCTTTTCTCACTTTATTGGTCCATGGACTCTCCAGTTAGCATCAGGTAACAGTTGCCCCTGACACTACAGCGGTAAAATGAAAAGACATCACATTCTAGAGGTTTACAAAGTCTCCCAGAGCCATCATGTCGTTTATAACGTATCACTTAACTATTATATTCACATTTCTTATAAAGACAAAGGTCAGCTGCCTGCCCTGTCACCCGTTTGTGGGGCTGCCTCTGCACCCAGACATCCCTGTCCTTCCTGATGCCAGCCTGGGGCCTGGAGTCTGAGCTGGGCAGGGAGGCCATGGCTGCCTGCCCAGAGGGCGAAGGTCACGGGGCACCCGGGGAAGGAAGAGGCTAGAGGCACGCTGTGAGAAGTTCTCTGGGAATTGGCCTTGGGTCCCCATGTGTCAGTTTCGCCAGCCAGGGACAAGAGAGAATTCCAAAGGAAGCAGGGGAGGGTGATGGGACAGCCCAGGCACCTCACTTTCGGATCCACCTTCTCCTCCCCAAGGCATCTTTAAGGGGTGAGTTTGTGTGCCTTGGGGCCAGCTCCTTCGAAAGGAGCAGCTCTTCAAAACCACCCTGTCCAAAGTGCAAACAGAGTCCCTTCACCTGCTTACCATGGCCAGAAATTCCTGTAACTGAAAAGCATTCCTTTCCTCAAGTTAGAAGTGAAAAGGGGCAAGGTGCAAAGCCATTTGGTGTGAGTCTCTGTCAAATCCTAAAAGGGGCCATCGGCCTCTACCCCGCTGTGGCGGGTGCTAACCGAGAGGGCAGAGCCGGCAGGAGGCTAGAGAAGACCACAGGTCCCCAACCTGGGCTCTGCCTTGGCTTTCCTCCAGGAAGAGCCTCTGTGTGCACCCTTGGGCCCCTTCCAGCTCCATAGGGAACATCCCAGAGAGCAGCACAGCCCTAGGGGCTGAGATCGCAGGGGTGGAGGTGGGCTGCCCTCTGTAGCACGGCCTCCCTTTCCTGCCACCTGCAGAATTCCCAGCGCCCTGGGCTTGGAGGGATGGGGACCAGCTCCTGAGACCTGGCCAGGTCTGACCAGAGCTGGTGGGGCCAAGGCTGACCATCATGCTGGCTACATGGTTCCTAGGAGACCAGGCCAGCAGGGCCACCTTCTGCAAACACCCAACCCAGCACTTTCCATCTTAAAGCCTTGCCGGCAGGAAGCAGGCAGGTGTTTTGCTGCCAGGAAGTAGCCTCACAAATACTTTACGAATAATTTCCCATCCGTGGGAGAAGGGTATTTCCCCTCCCACTTGCCCAGGCAGACAAGGGAGTCCGACCTGTTGTGGGGTTTATTGCCACATAGGTACAAATTCCTAGTGGTGATGACGATAGAACTGAAAAAACAATAGAAAGGTTGGGTGGCTACAACCCAGGTGACATAGGTCTATAATAATTCAGTAAAAACCTACTTCTCACTAAAGTCTCAACAGGGATGTTGAATAAAGCATTTTCCCCAAACCACATTCTTTCCCCAACTCTGCCAGGCATGGTTTGAGCCTTCAAGGAAGCGGCAGGAACACAAAGCTACACCCAGCTAAGTGGGCATAATTGCAGTCAGGGCTAAATGGCTACAGCCATTAGCAGCTCTTCAACTAACTCTTCTTACCTCAGTCATTTTAAAACCCAAGACTGTCAAGGAAGTACAGATGCTTCCTTTCCCAGGGAGAGAAGGGGGATGGTAAATCAAGAATGGGAGGAAGGAGACTGGGAGGAAAGTACTGAGTATGGTTTAGATTATGGACCAAGAATTGCACGCCTGCAATTTTCCCAGTAACTCAAGTTGTGGGGCTCTGGGGAGAGAGGAAAGAAAGTGGCTGGGCTGCAGAACGCAGTAGAGCCGGGCTCGAGTCCCTGGAGAGACACTTAGTAGCTATAAGACTTTGATCAAACTATTCAACATCTCCTGAGGCCTAGTTCTCCTCTCCTCTCTCTCCTCTCCTCCTCTCCTCTCCTTCTCCTCTTCCTCTCCTCTCCTCCCCCTCCTCCCCTCCCCTTTCTTTCTTCTTTTCTTTTCTTTTCTTTCTTTTCTTTTCTTCTTTCTTTTCTTTTCTTTTTTCTTTCTTTTCGACAGAGTCTCGCTTTGTCGCCCAGGCTAGAGTGAGTGCCGTGGCGTCAGCCTAGCTCACAGCAACCTCAAACTCCTGGGCTAAGTGATCCTACTGCCTCAGCGTCCCGAGTAGCTGGGACTACAGGCATGCACCACCATGCGCGGCTAATTTTTTCTATATGTATTAGTTGGCCAATTAATTTCTTTCTATTTATAGTAGAGATGGGGTCTTGC